CCATATGTTGGAAACAAACACTCAATTTCTTATCAGCTTTATTGCTCCCAGAAACTTGGTGAACCAGTAGACATCTCTTTAATCTACGAGGGCAGGTTCTCACCCTGGATCAGAGAGCTTTGAGAAAGCCCCTAGGTTGCTCTCTGTCCCAAGTTGTCAAGATATCATAAAATTAAACCTCACAAGTAGCAAAAGCTGAAGAGTTGTTTTGGTTTGGGTAAAGCATTCATTGTATTCCCTCGACCATTATGCAGCAGTGGTTAAGATAAGCTTGTGTGCTTGTCTGGCATATCAGCCCAGGTCAGAGATGATGGATTTGTATTAAAATGTGGGCAGGGGTCTAGGACAGCTGGGGACAATAGAGCTGGCGCAAAGAGGCAATGTGAAAGGCTGAGCAGAGGGAGGACAGTAGCATCTCCCAGAGCTATGGAAGAGAAAGTTTGAACCTCTGGCTTATTAGGTCTCTTTGCCAGAGTCCTGCTGCTGCAGTTGGCCGGGCAGTGACCAAACGCCTGGGGCCACCAATGGCAGCCATGCCGGGAGGATACCGCGGTGGTTCTGGCTTCTCAGGGCTAGCATACGAGTGACAGAAACACCATCAGCTTCAGCAGACCCAAAACTTAACTTTTCTTCTACCACGCTAATGATACATTACGGGTGTTTCTGAGAATTACATCCTGCTTCTGTCTGTAGCTGCAGTGCCGACTGCCTTCCCTGGTGGATAGGGCTGAGGAAGGACAGCAGGGCTCGGCTCCAGCTATGTCATTACTAGAAAGCACTACAAATAATTACATGCCAAAGAACAGACAAATTAAAGAAGTTCAGTCAAGACATTTTCCTGGGTGAAGATGAAAGGAATGTCTTTCACACTCTTAGTATAGTTTCACTAGCAGTGAGTAATGCAACACTGTACTTCAATGGGCTAAATTTCATGGAGGTGGGAACAAGAAAATATATTTGGTGACGTATCTTCTGTTCACAGATAAAACTTAGGATACTAAATCCTAGATCTTCCACTTTTAAATTGCCACCCCCATCACTGCAGAAGGAGAATCTTAATGAATTGCTCCTGCTGTTTTAAGGGAATACTAAGTACTAGCTGAATATTAAAAGGTTTTCTGTTAGATCAGAGTTAATTTTTTGGTCCTTTTTCAACATTGGATCTTTTTAGCCAGTTCTCCCAAACCTGTAGTCGATTCCTGTTCTGTAAATTATAATGATCTGACAACCTGAACTCTAAACTCAGGTTGTACAGATTAATCTTGGTCCGCTACAAGCACCTGCCTTGACATTTGCTGTGTACTTTCAGCCATGGTGTCTGGTAACAGTATTGAAATTGCAGGTACTACTCTGTTGCCCACCTTTAGGAACGCTTGCAGTGTATATTCATTAATAGCAGGAGATTTTAGTGGCAGGAATACAGATACTAAATGGTTTGCTGGATCACTTGTAGGAAAAAATTTCAAAGGGGATCTGAGTCCAAACCTGGGGTATTCCTTGCAGCCAAGTGAAACTTTGCAGAAAGTTTTTGGGTTTTTTTTTTGTCTTCCCAGCTCTGGCTAGTTCCCAGGGCTGAGATGTGTGTACAGTATTAGCAGATTGCTTGTGATTACTTTTACCCTATTAGCATCTACTTGTCAAGGTGTCAAAAGCACATAAAAAAAAAAAAAATAGAGAGGTAGAGCCCTGTTCTTTTTAATTCAAGATATGACCCAAGGTAACTGATGGCAGGTCACTTTGTAGAGCGTGTGTTTGCCTGTGCTGGTGTGGTCCCCCCCTTTGCTAGCTTTCCCAGGAGAGATTACCCTCCTCCCCCCGAGGAGGGCCTGATTAAAGCTAACACGGCAGAGATCACTTCCCTCCTGACAAACCATGACATGGAGCTAAATGGGACAGGCACCAGCTGGGATGTGTGCTGTGGTCTCGTCAGTGGCCAGGGACCTCAGTCAGGGGGTTGTTGTTGCACATCCCTCTTTTGGCAGCATGTTTATGCTAACCTTCCTGCTCAACCTGACCTCCTCCTCCCCCCCGCCTGTCCCAGCTACCCAGCAGCAGCAGAGGGGATGCAAGGCCTGGCGTCTTTAATCCAGTAAAACCCTTGCCGTTAATCACGCCAGACAGAGCGAGCAGCCTCCCCGCCATGCCTGCTGCAGGCTGGCTGCTGCTATTTCTGTCTGACCTCCTCCGCCTGCCCCATCCTCAAGGCATTTCTTACTCTGCCTGTGCTCGGCTGCCCTCCCGGATGGTCAATGAGCTTCTTGAACAAAAGGAGCTCCACTCTCTCACCCTAGAGACATGCAAAGTCCTTCCCCTCCACAACTTTCTTCTAATTCAAAAGTGCCACTGAAGCCCTTGCCATCCCCTTACTCTTTTCACCACCTCACTGTGTACTAGCACAAGAAGTCCAGCCCTGGCTGAGATTGCTGCATGGTGCTAATACAACATGAAGATGTTGTGTATACACTGCAGAGAGAATTGATGGTGAGGGCCCAGGGAAATTCAATTGGTTGCCTTTGTGCTTGCACATTGCTGGGGAGATAAGGCTGTGTCTTTTCTGAAATAGGTTAATCATATTGTGTCCTCTTGCAGGTTTTTTTATTCTTTCCTTCTGCCTATCTCTGTTACCTTTGGGATTTTTTGAAAAGGAGAAATAAAGACCATTGTATCCAGTCTTTAAAGGGTAGATTTAGGGAGGCAGATTATGGTTACTCCATTTGGGAGTACTCTCTGGTTTTTAATGCCTAGATTATATGAAATATGGTCAGAAGAAACTGGTTATCTCTAAAGCTGTCAGATCCAGATTCTCATCATTATGGTATCTCTCCCAGTGGAGTTTCTGGGAGTCACCTCAGCACTGCTCTTGGCGTAAAGCATGCTCATGCATGCTGAATAAGTAGCTTCATAACTGTCTCATTGACCTTTCCTTGGACATCTCCCACCTAAGAACTGAGAAGACCCTTCTTGCTGTGGACCTGACAAGTTACCCTGCAGATATGATGGCACTGTGGGAGGACAGGACATGCACTAGCATGACATCTCTCCCATTAGTGTCCCAGAGCACATATGACATAGGAGGTGATAGAATGACACCATACCGCTCCATTCCCTTGCCCTTCCCTCTGCCTTAAGTAAATTTCAGGTATGTGATGCATATAATGCTATTATAGATGTAGGCACAATGTGTATTTTAGGTTTTCAACAGTCAGACTTCTGCTTCTCTCTTATTTGTAGGCACCAATAGCTTCAGGTACATTCCTGTTTTCAACAGTCACAAGCTCACAATTGGATCAGTTGCTTTTACTTAGTCAAAATGCTTGGTGTTATGGCCAGTGATCTGCACACGCCCAAATTATGGGGTAAAAAGGGAGCAAAGGCAAAGATGGGAGAAGGTGGTAAATCAGACCAGTTCTTTCAACACATGTTTCTTCACCAAAGACAACACCCAGCTAACAATAATAGATTCACTGCTCTCCTTATGAGTCTCCTGCTCAGCAGGACTTTCTGCTTTCCCTTGGGTAGAAGTACAAAGATGTGGAGCCAACTCTGAAGATCAAAGAGGTGGATGGCTTGGAGCTGGTGAAGAAGTTCTCGGAGCAGATGGAAAGCATGCTCCGCAGGAAGGTCGAAGCTGTTGAGGTATGACCTCGGGGCCTATGGGAAGGAAGTCTTCTCCTGTCAGCCCCAGAGCAGTAGACGCAGGCCTCCTGCCTGTATCAGGAGTGTGTGGGCGCAGAGGTTCCATGAGGACTTCCTTGCCCAACCAAATGCCTGCTGGTGCAGCTGGCTGCTCACTCTGAGCTTTAAGTAGACACTGGTGGGAGGATGTGGGCGTTCAGACAAGGTAATGCTGGCTTCTCCCTCAGCCCGAAGTAGGAAATGAGATATAAACAAAGTCTAGGAATAAATGAGGGAACGAACACTCTTTTAGGAGAAAAGAGCTGTTTAAACAAGAAAAATACCTCTCACAAGTGAAAATACAGTTAATTCTTGCATAATGCACTGTGACCATTGAAGACTAGTAGCTTGTTTCAGCTGTGTGTGTGGCTCAGGGGAAATTCCTGCAGCCCCTGAACACAAGCTCCAAGGAAGATGCTTGGATTTCCAGCTGTGTACATGGGGAAGTGTGGAAGAGGTGGCAAGAGGTCTTTAGTTGTTGCTGTGTTGGAGATCAGAGCAGGTAATAGTTATGGCCCTTCTTCCATCTAAAAATCTATCATATTCCCTTATATTTACCCACTATGAAAAGCATATTTCTGTAGTCACAGAGCCTTGACTGTTTAAGGCGTCTAATGTGGAAAAATCATCCAGAAACACATAATTTGAATCTCAAAGTGAAATACGGGCCTATTTAGACCCCAAGCTTTGGCCCATAACACAGAATTCATAGCCAGACTTTTCCAACGTTTGGCTTCCCTTATCCTTTGTGAAGGAGCAAAAAGTAGCTTTGCTGAGACTGTTGCTGATTGTGCAACTCTGAAAACATGTACATGTTTAGCTGGTTTCCTTCCCAGTCTGTACCAATTGAGAATTAGTGCCCTGAAGCATTATATCAGAGAATACTAGTTTATTATAGTGCCTTCCATAAATGGTAAGAGCTTATAAATGGCCACAGCATTGCTGAGCCCTTTATGAAATCAAGTCATAGTCTTTGTCTTAGTAACAATACCAGACTGAGACTCCCACAAGGCCTTTTCCTTTGATGAGATACTGACATCAGGCTGGGTCTGAAATGCCTTTCCCATTCCTTTTTGGAAGGGTTCACGGAAAATGAAATTAAATCTCTGGCTGTTGTTTCTCTGAACGGACATGTTTCTGTTTGTATATGTCCTGTGATATCTAAGATTGCTCAGGGTTTTAGTAGGGACTCTGGAGTAAGTAGGTGTGAATGTACTCAGCAATAAATAGCTGCGAATACACCTTCCAAGCTGCAAAGTTGCAGTACAGAATGGCTGGTCAGCAGAAAAGGAGAGAAAGAGGGAAGCTCATAGCCCCGTGACTGTGTTGTGGTGGTGGTGGCAGTCGTGTGTCTTTTCACTACCCGTGTGAACGGCTGGTATAGCTGGAAGAGCTTCTGGAGTGCTTTCCAGAGCAGCCTCTCATCTTTCTTTCTGTGTGCTTGCATTAGAGGTTGGTGGAAGCAGCAGAAGATGCAGATCTGAACCATGAGTACAACTCCTCACTGGAGGTAAGTTTATCCCTGTCAGTGACAAAATATGACACCCATCCTCAGAGAGACTAGGCAAAAGGAAGGCCTAGGAGCACCCAGCCACCTCAGGCTCCTAGGCAGGTTAGGAGTTTTCTTGGCTTCAGGACACTCAGCTTGTCTAGAAACTGGTGTGATTCCCTTGGCAGATCCCAAACGTAGTAACACCTAGGAAGTCAGTCCCTTTGGCTCCAGGAGGGGAAGGATTTGGGAGGACATCGGGTTGCATGATGTTATTGGCATTACACCAATGTTATGTGACATGTTAGTGCAAATTACCCAGTGCTTTGTGGGTTACTTGACTGGAAAATGAGCTAAAAATTGAGTGTGTATGAGCAATGAGGAGGACGCTGTTACAAATACCCACACCAAACTGTTAATCCCAATGAACTGAGTTTCTCACCATCTCTCTCAACAGCTCCCATCATCTTTTCTCTACCCTGCGGACACCCACTTGTCAGGACTCCCTGTTAGGTGAAAACTTGGTGCTGTCCAAGCAATTTGGATAATTGTCTTTCTGTGAAAAACTGTAGCCAAGCTATGGGATTATTGCTGTTGAAGGGAACTGGAGTGAAAACTCTGAAGGAAATCCACTGTCCATAGTACAAGCACAGAGTGCTTAGCAGAAGTACAGGCTGCATCTGCAAGTACACCTCTCCATGCTGGGAAAGAAAATGCTTCCTGAAATCAAGCTATCTACTAATTTCACCTCTCCTACCTCTTTTTTTTAAGAATCATACTACAGTCATGCTAGTTGGGTCAGCTGCATTCACAGTAAGGGCCATGGATGAGCTATGTGACCCTGTATTTGCACACGCAGTTTGCACCCCTGAGTACTGTTAGTGCTTGAACATAAATCCTTAAATAACCTCTGCCCTCTGATAAAGTCAACAAAAACATCTTGAAAACATCTGTTATCCAAGGGTGAAGAGCATCCTGAAGATACTAAAGTGACCGTAGATGCTAAATCCCCAGTGGCCTTCACAGGGGGAAAACTCTGTTGTCTTTGAGTACCTTCTGCTCTATCCTTTGCTCTTGATGAGCACCTTCTGCTTGCAGTGACAGAGTGTGGGGATAATCCTGGCTGGATATACATCAGGAGTTAACTCCAGTAAATGACAGCTGTAGAGACAGGGCAAGTAAGGTTAGAATTGGCATGCCCTGTAGCAAACCTGGGAGTTGGACCCAGTGAGACACTCCACCTCTCTAGCTAGTCACTTAAGTACATCTGAGGGACCACAGGAATCTCACTGTGTCCCTTTGCTCTCAGGTGGCTCTTCTGCTGCTGGTTATGACCATGCTTTCAGTCATGTGGGTACCTGACAATAAGAAACCAGGCAGAAACCATCATTTGGGCAGCTTGGCACTTTTCAGTTGGTAATGGCAGTTGTTTGCTGCTCATCTTGATCCTATTTGAAGCCCGAATTCTCCAGATGTCCCTTTTTTATGTTTCAAAGAGTGGGTTTTTCAGGCAATACTGGTAATTGTCTTATTCTCTCTTGTTGCCTTTCTCTTTTCCATTGTCTTCATTAACAGTTTGATTACTACAACTCTCTCCTGATTAATGAGAAGGATGAAAATGACAATTATGTGGAGCTTGGAGATGAATTCATTTTGGAGCCAAACGAGCATTTCAATAACCTGCTGGTGAACACAACATACAGCGATATCCAGCTCCCCACCAATGTCTACAACAAAGGTAATGGCCTCCACTGGCCTCTGCTTTCTCACTACTAGTAGGTTGCTGTGGAAACTACCAGTAATAATACTGAAAGAAAGGATGGGAATAGAAAAAACAACTGACAGAAAACAGGACTGGAAAGGTTCTGTCCCAAGGCACGGTCATGTCTGTGCTGTAGTCTGTCACTGTGACAGGGCTTAGGTATAATCTGCTCTTGGAAGACCTCTAATGATGGACAGTCCTCCATCTTAGGCAGTATAGTCTCCTAGGGTTTATCTACCCAACCAAATATGCTGTGAAACAAACTGTGATGTGAATTTATTGGCAATTGTTACTCTGTACAAAGGGTCAGAGCTGTCAAGGTCTTTAGGTGTCAAGGATTTAATTGATTTCAGCTGAGAATTTAGACACCAAGTACCTTTGTGTTATGAGGCACTAACACCTCACGAGGACACACTTAAATTCCCAGTGAGCATATCTGTAGGAGACTGGGGGGGTAATTCACAACTGCTACTGGGACGTGACTGTTCTGGAGTATTTTCTGTTCTCAGCAAGCCTTTGACACTTTGGCAGCTGCAGGAGCCCGGGGAGGCACCGAGGCTCACACGGCCTCATCTGTGCCTGGTCTGTGTCCTCTCCCCCTGCACATTCACACGACTCCAGCTACACACGAGGAACCAGTCCATCGCCAGTCTGGTCAGCACACTGCCAAATCTGCAGGTTGAGACACCGCTTGCGATTGTCCTAAGTTTACTGCTCTTTTTGGCCAATGTTCGAAGCTGCCTGAACGGGCTCCTTGCCTGCCCTCCCCATCAGCAGTTACCCTTGCATACGTTTTGGCAAGAAAAAAACCCGCCATTACTTCTCTCAGATGGAGCTCAATCTTCGGGGCAGGCGCCTGGTGACTGTGCTTACAACTGCTACGTTATTTAGAGGGACAATAGAGGGAATTCTATTTTTCCCATGATTTTAAATTAATTCCATCTGGTCTGACAGCCCCAGACACTAAAATCCTGCGCACAATAGAGCCACCAGCAGAGCTGGCTGTGGGTAGCTACAGCAGAGCTACACAAAGTAGGCTCTTGCCCGCAGCAGCACACAGAAAGAGGTGGCCAAATGGCCACTGTCAGAGACAGCAGAGAGGCACTGCCCAGCTAGCTGATTTCTTGCCTGTACAGTGTGACACAAAGCATCCAGCTGCTCTGCCTACGGCTGGAGGATGAGCAGGAGATGGAGGAGGAGGGCTGCTTCCATGCCCGAGGCTTTTCCCAGGAGCAGTGCCTGGCTGTGCTCGCTCCCTCTCTTGCAAACAGCAGCAAGCCTGGCTCTGCACAGCTCTTCTGGCTTCCTTCCTGCACGAGTTACTTTGGCCTCATCGCTGGGGAGTCACTGTTCAGTTTTCCCCCATTTGGAACAAAACTGCCTTTAGTGAAGTGACTAAACAGGAAGTGCTGGGTCAAAGCCCCCATCCCTTTCAACATTAATACAGTTAATCCTACAATGACCAGTTTCTTATAATTCCCTTTTTCTGTTGCTGCTGCTGTTTGGTCTCCTGAGGCAATGAGTCAATGCAGACACCAAATATACACTGCCTCTTATACGTTTTTGCAAGTCTACAACTTCCTATTGATTCTGATGCGATCAGGGGCAAGGGAGGACAGCTCAGGCTTTGTGAAAGAAAGGGAAGGCAAAGAGGAAAAGAATAAAAAAATCTGGGGGAAAAAGAGGGGAAAGAAACGGCATGTAAATCCTAGAGCTCCTCTGTTTTAGATAATTGTCCTGCCTGTACGATATGCCAGTTGTGCTCAGCACAGTGCTGGCTTTCTGAGTGTCTCGGAGCCCTCTTCCATCCAGACATAATGCCCAAGGGCAGACAAGGGCTGGAAAGAGAAATGGGGATAATAATGTGTGACCCAGCTGAGATCACCTGTAGTGGCCAGTGGTGACCTGTCCTCCAGGATTTACTTGGATGAAGCATCCAATTCTCATCGCAATGCCTGTTGGAAAGCCGCTGTCAAGGGGGTAGGTGTCATTGTGAGGGGAAGAGATATGGCTTTTGCAGACCACAAGGACAAGGCTGCATTCCTCCTGGGGCTGTCTTTGTTCCCATCCCCCTCTTCCATCTGGGGCAGAGGGGTGGTGTTCTCCCCTCTTTTGCACACATTTTCCCCAATTTTCTATTCTTCTCTCCACAGACCCTGACATCCTGAATGGTGTTTACATGTCAGAAGCCTTGAATCCTATTTTCGTGGACAACTTTGAAAGGGATCCCACGCTGACCTGGCAATATTTCGGCAGCTCCACTGGATTCTTCAGGCTCTACCCAGGTAAAAGAGCAGAGATCAGTTTCACTCTTTCGGCACAAAGCAATAGTCTTGAAGGACAGGGGCTGTGCCATGGAAGAGCTCGATTCAGGAAGCTTGAGGGAAGCATGGCCAATGAAGAGCAGGGTGCAGTAAGCAAAAAGACTCAGTACATGAGCTGCTGCTGCTTAGGTTGAAGAAATAGTGTCTACAGCAAACATAAACCTTTTTTTTTTTTTTTCCCCCACGTGGACCAGCCATGTTGTCCTTGTGACCCTGGAGGAGTCTGCTTGCAAGGGTGTGCCTCAGGCAGACTGCCATCTGAAAAGCACAAAACACCACAGTAAGACCCATGAATCTTGCAGGCAGGGTGCACAGGCTACACAAGGGCTCCCTGCCTTGCACATCTGTGGTTTTTCTTAGCAGCGGCCACAGCCCCTCTCCATCTCCAAGGCCACATGTGGCAGATGCAGCTGGTCAGCCTGATTTGTTATCCACTTGCCAGCTGCAAGTGGTGTGTAAGGTCACGGCGCAAGAGGGAGGACCCCTTGCTTGGAGGAACCCACGAGGTCCTCCGCAGCTGTAGCTTGGCCTGGTGGCCCCTCCATCAGATGGCTGCATGCCCTTGCTTGTTCTGTGACCTGTCACGTGTTGTGGAAGGCAGAGATGACTATGAACAGAGCCTTTAGCAGAGAATCTGGGACGCATCCCTGTCACTGCTGTGCTTTCTTATGCTCTCAGCCACCCTTGGGGAGAAAAAGATGTTGCTGAGAACTACATTAAAGTGGCAGAAAGTTTAAAGTGCAGTTGCTCCCCAAATTTGAACAGACTATGCCTAGGTACCTTTTTTTTGTAATAGAAATTTAATAAACAGCTTATTGAGAACTGCTGAAGACCATGCATTTCTGCAGAATGGCCGCTGTTATTGCTGGCCAGGCTTGCGTGCCCCGCAGGGTAGCCGGGTCTCAGCAGTGAACAGCAGAAGTACGGGTGCCTAGGGAGCACATGCCGGCCTGTCTGTTGATTGCTCCTTTTGCTGCTCCCTTCAGGAATAAAGTGGTTACCAGATGAGAATGGAGTCATCTCCTTTGACTGCAGGAATCGTGGCTGGTAAGCACTTTGGAGAGACTTGTCCAAAGCACCTCCCTGTCGTCTTCTCTCCCTCTTTCCCAAGGTGACAATTCAGTGAGCTGCTGATCAGCAGTTACTGCCCCATGCTGCTCCTGTGAGAGATGAGGGCAATACCAGGTTAGGAATCCTGCCCTCCCACTTCCCAGCACCAGCTTTCCATATGGCATCTAACACGTGCCATGTAGAAATCACCACCAGTGTATCCTTCCTTATAATTCTGTGACCCGAGGGACAGGGTTGTTCATACTCCAGAAATGCCAGGCATTTACTCAGTCCACTCGGTATGGCTAAGGAGGCTTTAGCAATTGTCACACTCACTTGAATCTGGACATAAGTCTGCAGCAGGCCCACCACTTGCCAATGCTGGAATTGAGATGCTGGGGCCAGTGGGAGAGGCAGGTTGGTAGGAGGGGACCCATCGGATGCTCAGCCTGACCCTGCTGCATAGCTGTGCGCGGGGTGCAGCTAGCATCAAGTTACAGCAGCGTGCCCAGTGTTCCTCCTCCCCGTATGCAAACTCTGCTTCCTTGTATTCTTCTTTTTATAAAGGTACATCCAAGCAGCCACCTCTCCCAAGGACATTGTCATCATTGTGGACGTCAGCGGGAGCATGAAGGGCCTGCGGATGACCATTGCCAAACACACCATCATCACCATTTTAGATACTCTGGGAGAAAATGACTTTGTCAACATCATTGCAGTAAGTATGTCCCATTTCCAGTGCTGAGCTGTCTTCCTTGTGCTTCATACCAACCTTTCAGCCCCCTTAGCAAACTTCAAGCATTACAGTGGCATAACTACAACACTTAGTACCTATGTGGAATGGGAAATTAAAACCAGTTACCCCAGGAAGGCAGCTTCATGTGGTCAGCCGGGTGGCTGCTAAGTCATCTCAGCCTCCTCTATGGAGGATGTCAGCCGCATCTTGTTGCTTACTTAGGGATGTGACTGCAACAGATAACATAGTGCTGTAGAGAGACATTTGAGCTAATAAATTCACCTAGCCTAGCATAATACTGTGTTCGGGTCTAGAAGCAGTGCAATCCTCAGGACAATGTTTCCAGGGTAGAAAATGACCACCATATGCCTTTTTGTGCACCAGCATCCTGCAAGGCTGCAATTCAGTTAAGAGTCAATCTGCAAAGGCCCACACAGAGTTTGGTCAGGTTGCCCTGGTGTTACTCTCTCCCTTTTTAAGCCCTGGCCAGGATGAGGATGGGCCAGTTACCCACAGAGAACCAGCACCACTGACCACAGAAAGCAAAACTTTTCCATGATTCACACCAAGACCGGGGGGTTTGGTGCCCACTTAAAGACAAATGTCTCCTCACCTCCTCATTTTCAAAGCTAATTCAGGCACCATCTCTTTCCCCAGGCTCCTTTCTACAAAAGCTTGCCAGGGCACAGTTACTGAGATATAAAGTCTACTTTTTGTTGATAGCTTTTTATTGTATAAGATAATGAGAAACTCCAATGGTGACAGCTCTTTCTTTATATGGCTGGATAGATGGAAAAGTGAACAGTGTTGGCAGAAAAATGGAGGGATGTCATTAAGGAGTTGGAAATATCATCTGTTCTTCAAAAACAATCCAGAAAGAGCATATATTATTTACTCACACCAAGAACCTACTGGCTCAGACACATTATATTCTGACCTAAGCTCCTATTGATCAGCTGACCATCAGTGCCCTCTTAGCCACTCTTATGAATTATGATCTTCCGAACCTTGCAAAAGGTTTACATATGTGAGGTAAAACATGCCAGTGTATCAGGCTAGAAGCCCCACTAATTATAACAGTTTGGTGGTAACTCGATATGTTATTGTTCAGCTGTGCGCCAGAGGCATCAGACATTAGGCTACAAAACCACTGGCAAGGTTCAGCTGGCGACTGGGGACTCTCAAAGTCTCCAGAAAGCAAAAATATGTGCAAATAGTGCTAGAAGCAAGGACAGGGGCACAAATTAATAGAGTGTGGAGAAAAATCTCTACAGTGTGAATGGGGAAAAAAAGTAACTTTGTATGTGTAGATATGCCGAGATAGAACTCAGCAAAACACCGTAATTAAACACCATAATTATTTAAGCAAATACAAGATTTATCAAAATTATAATTTACCATTATCATTACAAACAATTCTTAAGGGAAATATGTATAAAATGGCATAATGCTCCATACTGTTTTCTGAAGATCCACCTAGGATGTGAACCCATTTTTGTGACTTTTCACCCATTACAATCCCTTTCTTTCCATTTTCTCTTTGCAGTACAATGATTATGTTCATTTTATCGAACCCTGTTTTAAGGGTATCCTGGTCCAAGCAGACAGAGATAACAGAGAGGTGAGTACCAGGCTCCTATCGATGTTGTTCGGGTAGTTCTTTTAATGTAATAAGTACATGGGGTTAAGATGCTGTGGCCTGAAACTCCAGGGACAAGAAACATCTCCCAGAAGCGTGGGGGTTTGCATTTCGGAAACAAGCGCCAGCTCAGTGGTGTGCGCTGAGTCCTTGGTTCACCTTTGCTTACACGAAGCTACTGTAACATCAGGTCAGCTAAACGCCAGTAACCAGCTTCCCTGTGTCACAGCAGACTCGGCACCTCCGCTGCCATGAGTGGACGTGGTCCAGACCGCTGTGGAAAAACAGTGTGCAGAGGGCAAAGGTTCTTCATCTCTGAAACCCCACATACTCAGACCTCAGAAAGGAGAAAAATCAGCCCTTTCCCGGTGAATGTGTTCTCAGCCTGGCCTGATCCTTCGCCAGGGTGCACTGCCAACAAGCTTTCTCTTGATGAGGGGGTTTGCTGCTCTGATCCAAGAGGGCTCAGCAGCCCGAGGTGGTCAGCCTGCATCCCCCTGCTCCACTGCCCTCTAGGCTGACTTGTATTTTTACATCTTCCTACTGATTGCTTTTTTCTTCCTTTTTCTCTCAATATTAATACTACAGAGGTAGCATACTCTTCCATGTCATTTACAACCAGCTTTCTCCAAATTTCTTTCCCGTTCTAGCCCTGGGTCACAGAGTATGACTCCAGAGGGTGATGTCTCCTGCAGTGGTTCCCAAAGGAACCTCTAGCCTTTTTGGCACTGTCTGTCCTACAGAGTTGCTCTTGCATGCACGGGAATGTTTTTTTCCTGAAGGGGTGGATAAGGGAAAGCCTGATTTCTCATAGTTTTGTCCCTCGCGTGATGTTCCATGGACCACCAATTGTTCACAGCCCACAGGCTGAGAAACGCAGTCCTGCTGTGGCTGCCTGGGGTAGGTGCAACATGATGGCACTGCCAATGGAGCAGCCACTTGACTTTCCCACCTCCATCTGTCACGGTGTGGCCACTGCCCTGCCATCAGCGGTGAAGGATCGGGAGCCCAATGGCACAGACTTTTCCAGGTTATCCTTTCCTCCCCTGGTCCAAGGGAGCGCCCTGCGTGCAACTCATTGCTGCCTTTTTGCCTCTCTTTTTGCCAGCATTTCAAGCAGCTGGTGGACGAACTGCAGGCAAAAGGAGTGGGAACTGTGAACAAGGCCTTGACGGAGTCTTTCAAAATCCTGAGGGAGGTAAGAGATGGTGCTGATGCTTGCATCAGGCACACATGTCCCTGCGCACCCCTACTTTCCCCTCTACATTTAACGACTTAGCACATCCATCAGGGTGCTGCAGGGAGGGAGGAGGTATGAGCTGATTCACAGGTCACAAATTTGCAACAAGCAGTGTGCAGGGGTGACCTGGCTTCAGGGAGGTGTCGGTGTGTGCGTGATGCCCTGGGGCTGCCGATCCCTGCCCAGGAGGGATCACGAGCCAGCGAGGCTGTGGCCTCCTGAGTGTTTCCTTAACAAGCCCCATGACCGGGCATCGCCCAAGCACCTTGGTTATAAATGGTGGCAATCAAATATAACTGATCAGCTGATGGCAACAATTATGGTCATAAGTAATGTTATTAGTGAGCCCTGGTAAGTAGATGATGAAGACATGAAAGATTCTCAGGCTTCGGATCTATTTCAATGTCATTTTGTTGAGGATCAGCGCTTGGGGAAGAAATCACAGGTACAGGAGAATTAATCAGTCAATCTGATCATGTCCTGTGGTACAAATCATAAATGATTCATTGCCTTATGTGAATAATTGGGACTTCAGTAGCCTGGAGGTAAACATACGACTTAACTCTGTTTCTTAGGGAATGTTAACAAAAAAAAGGACCAAGAACCAGCTGAACACCCCCACCTCCTCATGGCACTGTGTAGTGGGGCTGGCCTAAAGATGCCAATGCCTTTGGTGCTGACAAAAATATGTACATGGTATGATGCTAGTGGCCATAATGATGGCGTTGTTAAAGGTAATGCGCTAGAGGTATCTTATTGTTAAAAGAGGAGTGTTGCCCAAGCATTCACACACCATTCATGGTCTATGATGCTAGTGGCCATAATGATGGCATTGTTGTTAAAGGTAATGTGCTAGAGGTATCTTATTGTTAAAAGAGGAGCTGTTGCCCAAGCATTCACACACCATTCATGGTGTCACACACTCTCACTCACTCTCTTATTCTTGGGCATGCTTCTTCCTTCTTCAGGCTAGACCCCAGGTTTCCCACAGCAGAGTCTCAGGAGCTGGATTTTGTAAAGTAATTAATTTAATTGAAAGGTACAGCAGCAAGAACAGCACGGGCTGGGTGCTTCCAAAGAGAGGGACCCTGAACAAAGAAATCCCTGGGCAGATATACCCTTGGTGCTCTACACACCTGCCCTTCCCACGCGGTCCACGCATCTTCTAGTCTGTTGGTGATTTTTGGTTTGGGGTTTTCTAACATCTAATTGGATTCTTTTTCTGTGTGCGGGCAGGCAGGCTCTTATCTTGTTGATTTGCAGTTCCAGCCAAAGGTTGGAGCCTCCTTATCTTCTGGTTTACGCTCCTTGAGCACCTGCCCTTGCTGGTGGAACATGGAGAACTGAAGAGTCCCAGACTTGGGAAAAACACTACCAGAACATTCGTGTGATATCAAAATACTTTCCCATACTAAAAGACTAAACACTCTACCAGCTGCTAGGAAAATTACTAAGAAAAATACCTCTATTATGGCCTCAGGGCTTCAGCAAATCTAGCTACTCATGCTAAGTAAAGCTAAGCAAACAGCACAAATCACACCATATTATAATCTTAAGTAATTTATTCTGATTTAAACTTACTTATTTACGCTAAACAACTAATATTCCTCAACACTTATTTTACAAACTGAAATTTTAAGTTGTTAGCTATGGTGATGATATTCCTAATTTATGCCAGTGCAATCATGATCAGAGTTCAGTCCAGGGATGGTTGTAGCTGAGGTGACTCGTCAGTGCAATAGCAGTATATAATGGCAACCTGAGTGTGGTGTAGCCTTGACATTGCAGCAATAGGATGGTATTACTCCTAGTAGTCATGGTTCAACATCTTTGGGGGAAGATAGTTACTGAGATGAACAGGGAAGCAGTAATCATATAAACCTAGAACATGGACTAGATGGCTGCTAGTTTTATGTATGTGTATCCTTGCATTTTATGACAAAATTAACTTTCCCTTTAAAACCAAAGATCAAGAGCCTATATAGGCCTGCATTGTATCAATCAGAATATTTAAACAATTTTTCTACCAGAGGAAAAATTATTTCTTAATATCTAATGTAGCACTGGTTATGTACAGTGACAGCAGATTAAACAAGCCCAATGCAGTACAACTGCAGACTCTTTCAACCAGCACAGCTTTGAAGGTCTCAGTGGAGAATAATGGAGCATAGCCCTAAGGAAAGCCTGCTTGTCTCAGCTCGGAATAGCAGCCAGTCATGCCAGGCACAGGCACCAAAACTGGTCTGGTTCCACTAATGAGGAGACCTCACACCTCCTTTCTGGCAGGCATGGCTCACCCACTAGAGCAGGCAATCCTTAAGCCTCCAGGATGCAAGACGTTTATAAAACCCTGCATATGTTGAGCCAGGCGTGTCCCTGGGCAATAAAAGGTACATGGTGGAACAGCTGAGACAGGAAAAACTGTCCTCCACTGACATAGCTGGACCAAAAATACCTCCAAAGAGGGAGTGATGTCCATGTGGCACAGGGGACTAACTTAACTCCACTATTTTTCCTCTCTATTTGGCATCAAAAATGTAGTCAACGGTTTAAGTCATCACTTATCTTGATCCTTGTTGATTCTCCTTTGGCTAATGAGGTCAAAACAGCTCTGAAATGGCTCTTAGTACAGCACCCAGTGGTGATAAAAACTGCTGATGATATTCACTCACAAGGTGAGGTGCTACTTCCCTCATGCCTTTCATTATCACCTCAGATCTGGGGAGAAGGCAACTGACTCAGGCATTTGAGCATCTGCAGATGAGGAAAGGTGGCGGGGCTCTCAGTGACTGCTGGTGTCATGCTTCTCTGCATCTTGGGAACTGCTGTCTATGAAACAGGAGTTCAGAAACAGTAACTGCAACAGGACCTCCTGCAAGTCACTTTGCAGCTTCATCCCAGGATTTCTGTTTGCCTGGTGACATTCAGAAGAGACAGAGATTGTGTCTCAGCACGCATGCAGCAGCCCCAGAGCCTGCGTTTAAGTAGGCATGCCGGTGTAGAAACATGCCTGTTGGCCTGCAGCAGCCTTCCCCAAACTGTAGCTTCCCTGGTAAGGGCTCACCTAAAGAGTGCCTCAATATCACCAACTGGAGCACCCCAGGGTCTCCTTAAAGCAAAAGGTACCAACTGTGAGTGCTCGTATGCTGTAAGGGCTCTCTGAAATCCTCTCTCAGAACTTCTTAGATCTATATCAGTAATAGAGGAGGAAAAGGGTTTCCATCAGTGTGTCCTGAAACAAATCTGTGCTGCTGCAGTCATGCAGGTGGGAGGAGGAGGAACTTTGGTGGAACTGGCCACCCCCTTCCTGTCAGACAAAATTCACATTCTCAGCTTGTAATTGTAGCTGTTCCTCGCAGACTGTCCTGCTATAGTTCATGGGAGCATACGCAAGAGAATGAAAATGAAAATTGCTACATCACACTGATGAAACAGGCTTTGCTGATTACAATAGACAACCAGTAATAATATCGGTAATGAAAGTGACTGCAAAATTTCCCTGGTAATTTTCCTCAGTCCAATTGCTCGTAGAATTAATAGCCTAGCAGAGACCTACTCAGTGAGGTATGAGTAGCAGAAAGGGTTTGAAGAAGAGCACAATCTCTCTTTGTTTTCCTTCATTATGTTCTGGGGCAGACAGGGTATATTTTAATCTGTGACGCAATTTGCAGACCAGCTTCAGGAGAACAGTTAGCCAGAACCTCTCCTGCTCCTCTGTCACGCTCAATAAACCACTTAAACTCTCTATTTCAGTTTAGCCACACACCGAGTGGTTTCAATAAAACATGCATCCCAGGGAAACCATGGTCCTTAAAGCATACATTTATAAAGTGCTTCAAAATTCTCAGGCATCAAGTGCTATCTTTTGAGCTCCTTTCTTGTTTATCAAGTTTTAGTCTATCTTGCTGCTACCTTCTCTTTGTTTCAACAAGCTTGGCACGTCTTGTCCTCTCACCCTTTTCGTGCAGGATTTATACTGCTTTGTTCCAGCCGCTGCTCTGCTCTGGGCTGCTTTGCAGGCTGCCTGCCTTCCCTGAAACACCACACTCCCAACGGCCTGTAAATGCTGCAGCTGAGAGCTATCAAGTGCTAAGCAGAGCAGAATAATTACTTTCCTTGTTTTACACACCATAGTCCTCTTAACACAACGTGAGACAACAGTTACCTTCCTTCAGACGCTGTCACATTGTTAATTCCTATCCAGCTGATCTGCCTCAAAAAAAAATATTGAGCCTCCTGTTCAGTGTTTGAGCCTCTGACTATCCTTTCCAATGTACGGCAATTGTGAAGTTTTTTGTATATTTTTATAGACATGCCAAATATATGTGTGTACATATATGCATATGCAAACACACACCCCCCAATTCTAAAAAAATTATATA